GTAGCCCTAGGATGAGAAAGAGGGATAGATACCCCCCTATGTCAACTAATGGAAGAGTTCCGTCAGGAAACCTCTTTAATAACAGTTCGCTATTGGTCTCAGATATTTATGTAATGACTCTATATAACTCTATTTTAATGTTTAAAATTCTCATCTTTCTTCTTACAGAAATGTCAGTAAACCATATACCTGGACTGTTTATTTTCCTCATATCAGGTAACACAAACCTACAAAGATTCTAAAACTTGCCCTTATAATTCTAATGAGTCAGAATGGAAAGTATCAAATATACCACCTGCCTGAAAACTCAGCTTTCCCTGGGAAGGAACTCAGCCCGAAGAGCATTTTGTAGATTATGATTAATGATTAACTAAATGTGCTTCTACTTTTCTGATCTCTAGCTGCCAGTACTAAATAAAATGCACCACCACCAAAGAACATAAATAATATAATTAAATATGTATCGGAGCTTTAAAAAAATTTTTTTTCTTAATAATTAAAAGACAACACTTGTGAAGCACAGGGAAATGAAATTCCAGAAAGTTTTTCACAAACTTAAGGCACACCCTGTGTGGGCTATGGAAAGCTTTTCAAGAAGCAACTGTCAATCCTATCACCCAGGATAGCAGAACAGGATAAGCCAATGAAAGGGTTCCTATGAGATTTAGAAATGGTTTGACATTACAAGCCTGCCAAAAAACCTGGATACAGAGCCAGTAATTTACCTTCAACAGGATAAGAAATGGGAAACCAGATTCATTTATAAGGAGGTTTAGCATTGGACTAATATGTTGACATTTCCTGGATCTGTTCCAGGAATGGATGAGAAAATTTTGGATAGGTTGCTGTTTTCTCCAATACTCAGTAATTAATAAGTTTATTATCAATTGAATTTTATGTGATAAACTCTTCAGAGCAAGAACCACACAGATTTATGCAGTCTGTAAACTCCGTATAAATTAAGCACACTTTGAAAGTTATAATGGTGCTAACAGAGTGAAAAGGTCATGAAAACACAGGACTGAACCAGGTCAAGTAAGGCTACCACCATTTTGAAATTCTGAAGACTGCACTGTCATGCTTTTTGGTGTGCCTGAATGATTACACCTCTGTCAAGTCAATCTATCTTTGACTTGAAAATGAATTTGTGTCAATTGGAGTTTACCTTAGAATTTTAACCAGGCCTTCAGTTCCATGTACAGAGAATGAACAATGTCTTTTGTTACCACAAATAATTAAAACTATTTTAGGAAAAGACACCTTTTTACCTGAGACTCTTTAATAAGTGAAATCAATAATTCTCACCAACAACTCTATGAGGGACAATCCCTTCTATACAAAGTGCAAGTGTGTTGGGGGGGGCGGAATGGGTAAATGTCATTTGACTGACTACATGTCCAGAAATTACCTTTCACCTGAGATACTGCAGCTTCCAACAGAGGCCTTTTTGAGCTCCCTGCTCTCTTAACAGGCAGGGCTATTAGGAATCCACACAAAACCTAAGTATCCTTCTAGAAGCCTGGAACCAAGGAAGATTTCTATTTCACTTCACCCATCCTGCTTTTTGTTTGCTTGTTTTTTTGTTTTCATGCCTGTGCTTATAAATGTATAAGAAAACAAATCAAAAGAGGTAAAGAAGTGATTAGACTGCCTCCTTAACCCAAACCAGGCAGAAAGAGAACTAATCGATATTTAGTACTTTGGACATATTGGCCCTAAGAAGGTAAACAATAGCAATAAACCAGAAAAGAATCCTATTCATCTTTATTTTTATCATCACCATTATTATTTGGCTCTGCTTGATTATTGCTTTTCTTTGGGGTTTTCCAGATAGACAGCCCAATCTGAGAACTAAATGTAATTGCTCTGTGCCCCACCAGAGCCCAACTATAATCCAGCAGCCAAGTCAAGAAAATGAAGATTCAACATTATTTTTGCAACCTCTGCTTCCAAGATTTTATCTCATACATAGACTAAGTTAAAGTACTCTTTCATTTCAAGGGCCAATGCGAATTTTTAAACTAATTATTTTTAATAGCTTATCAAGAATGATGTTACTTTCTTTTTTGTGTGTGGTATATAGAATGTACATGCAACTCTTTTTTTTTACATGCAACTCTTTGCTTAAGAATTAAGGCTGTTTATTTTCATTACACTCATCACACATACTTCCCACTGATATCAGTGGGAGATGCATATGTGAAATATAGTTGAAGCTAGAATATACTGTTTCGTACATAGCCTTGGCATTTACGTCAATCTAATCAATGGGCTAAATTGTCACAAAATTGACAGACAAATGCTATTCTTCAGGCAATCATTTTTCAAGTCTGTTAACTTGCTAAGCTGGGATTCACTATGATATTTACAGCTTATGTCTCCTCCATCCAAGTAAGCATTGTCTTTGCATTTTCAAAAGTAAGCTCTGGCTTGAGCTGCTACCTCTTTCCAGGTAACGTCAGGATCTTCGACTTCCTTCCACCTGCGGGTGTGTTATAACCCGGGCGCGCACACCCCGAGTCCTACCTCTCCCCCTCCGAAGGCCACAGGGCAGCCTCGAGAGAACCTAACCCACACATGAAAACTTTCTGGCCGCTAACTCTACTGCTCTCGCCTGCGATCGAAAGCGACCGGGCACCGGGAAGGATCCTGGCTTTTGTTCCAGCGTTGCCCAGCTGGCGAGGTAACGCCACCGCAGTCCTCCACCCCGAAAGCTCGGGAGAAATTGCGTGGTGCTGAGATTTTGGAGCCTCACGGAAAAAAAAAAAAAAAGCCTATTTTTACGCAGTTCGTGCGTGTGGGGTGTACAAACACATGAAAAGAGGGGGTGGAGCAGGTAGGCATGAAATTGTCAGCGCCTCTCAAATTCTACTTCAGTCAGGTTCACAAAGTGAGTCTCCCCATATGTGGAAGGGCGCGAGGGGGGCGGGGAGAGGGAGACCACTCGGACTGGGAGAGAAATAGGTAGGAGAAGGGTACGCGAGATACAGTCGAGATGCAGGTCCGGCCCCGCCTCCGGCTACAATCGGAAAAGCTACAGTGTGCCAGTGGCTTTCGGCTTCCTGTTTGTAAAGCCAGAACCTCCCTCCCTGACTCCGGTGACAGACGTTCTTCCTCTAAACAGAGTCCGCCTCTTCTTCGCGCTCGGGGCAGGATCCGGGGTTGGGGAGTGTGGGGCGCGCGGGGCGCGGGCGGCCCCGGTGGAGGAGGCAGAGCCGCGGGGCGCAGCGCCCCTCCCAGCCGGGCGGCCTCGGGGGCAGAGCCCGGCCGCCAGGCGGACAAAGCGCCTCCCGCTCCCTCCCCCCACGGCCGCGCACCGAGAGGGAGGGGGAAGGCGGGCTAGAAGGATGTAGGAGGAGGAAGAGGAGGGGGAGGAGGGAAGGTGCAGCCGGCGGGACTGGGCAGGATCGCGCCGAGGAGGGTGGGGAGGAGGAGGGGCTGGGCGGCCTCGGAGAACGGGGAGGAGGGAAGGATTCTTGAAGCCCAAGATAAACAAATTGTTCCTCTTCACGTGCGGGGTGGGGGGAGGTGGAGAGGGTGGGGAGCGAGCGCTGCGGCCTCTCCTCTTCCCCACCCCCTAGCCGGCTCTTTGTCACGGAGCGCCGGCCAGAGTGCCGAGCGAAAGCCCGCGGCCGCACTGGCACCACCCCCGGCGCCGAGGACTCCCAGACCCGGGATGTGCGCGATGTATAAACCGCATACTGAGGGGGCCGCCCGCGCCGGGCCCTGCGCGGCCGATCGAGGCGCGGTCGGCAAAGGAAACGGGAGACCGCGCGCGGCCGGGCCGCGCTCCTAGATTCCCACAGCCCGGCCCACCCCGCACACACGCGCAGCACTAAGCCAGGCGGCGCGGTGGGGGAGGGGGCTGAAGACACCTTTCCCAAGCTTCCGGCTTCCCCCCCCACCCCAGAAAGGAAAGCAAAAGAACCGGAGAGAGGAGATAAGAGAAAGGATTCTACCCTCAGGGTTAGGGGGTGGGAACTGCCCCTTCCTCCCCGAGAAGTTAAGCCATTGGCTGCTCATCTACCTCGAACCCACCCACCCAGCCATTTAAGCCTCTTTCACCTCCCAGCTATCTTCCACTCCTCCGGGCTTATTAGACCAGCCTGGAAAGTTGGCGGGGAGCGGGGTGGAGGCTGAAGCCGGCTCGGTGCAAGCAAGTTTAATAGGAGGAGAAAGAATTCCCCGCGGAGTTGCGTGGTCTGGACTCTGGCTGCAGGCCGGGGGCGTAGCTCTCCCCTGCTAACACCCGCCAGGCCGCTCCCCCCCGGACCCTCCCGGCCGTTCCACCTGCCGGGCCAGCCTCGGGGCTCGAGCGGCGAGAGAGCGCACCCGCGCCCCGCATTTGCGCGCGCTCCCGCAAACGCGCGCGCGCAGCCACCCTCGCTCGCTTCTCACCCACTTCAAAGTTCATTCACAAAACTCTCAGACTTTCTCAGCCCAAAGGAGGTGAGCTAGGGAGAGGAGGCGAGAGCCTCTCCCTTCCTCCCCCCCCAGGGGTTCAGGGCCTGGTGCCCGCCCAGAACCTGCGACAGCATCAATTTCTCCCTGCACCCGGCGGATGTGCTGAGAGGGGTGGGCGAAGGGGGACGGGTCTGGGAAGGCGAAGCGGCACGGCAAGGGGTGGGGTGGGGAGTCGTGAAGAGGAGGAGCGAGGTTTCAACTCTGGGTTCACTCTCTTTCAAATCCGTATCTAAGAAAGGGAGAGGGGGGGGAAACTTTTCCAGTGCCTCACTCCGGCGCTCCTCCAGGCTCCCTCCGCCCCTCTCAGTCGTGACTGGCTTCTCCCCTCTCGCCCCCTCTTCCCCAAATCTGACAACCCTGACAGATTAACAGGTAGCGACGACGGCAGCTTTTCCTCCAGAAAAGTTGATGTTAACCCTTCGGCTTCAGCCCATCTCGCCACCGTGCAAATCAGACACCCGTTTCCCCCATATAAGAAGCTCCACGCCCCCCCTCCATGCGCGCGCGACCCACGCCTGCTGCCAGTGCGCCCTCACCATGATCAGCGTGTGGTTCCTCTGCTCCGCCGAGGCAGCCTCCGCATCTTGCTGGGGTTTGCTCTGGTGCTGCTGCTTGCCCGTGCCGGCGCCCGATTTCTTGGCCCTCTGCTCCAGGGTCCGCTGGTAGAGGCTCACGGTGTCCCGGCGCTCCAGCTCCAGCTGCTCCACCTGAGCCTGCTGATACCTGTTCTCGCAGTTGACGTGGTGCCGCCGGCAGCCCTCGATGCGCTGGCGGAGCCGCTCCACCACGGTGCTGTGCTTGGGGACCGCCGCTGAGCCGCCGCCGGGGCCCCCGGAGCCGCCGCCGCCGCAGCCGGCAGCGGGGTGATTGCTACTCGGAGCAGCGGGAGTACTATTGGGAGTATTATTCACACCGATCCCGGCCCCGCCGAGGCTGCTGTTCAGGCTACTGTTGATGCAAATACTACTGCCATTCGCGGCAGCAGCGGGGGCTGCGAAATCCCCCATCCTGCTCCCCGGGCACACTATTTTGGAAGAACTTTTTTTTATCCACCCCCCTATCAGCCTCCTCCTTGGGTCCAAGAATTAAAATAGTTTAAGTGGAACGCGGGGGAGACGCAAGCACATGGATGGAAACAGCGATCCCGACGGGGCGAAAAAAAGGGGGAGAGATTTTGGGGTGGGTTTTTTTTGTTTCCTTTTTTTAAACTGTAAAGCTCGAGGGGAAAAAAGGGGGGTGTTATCAGAATACCATCAGACACCTATCAACAAAAAGAATCACAACAAACTGAACCAGCAGCAAATCGGGTTGCAACTCAAGGGGAGATCCGCTCCTCTCCTGCCTTCTTTTTATAATCCATTATTTTCTAATAAATTCCAGGAGATTTCCGGTGGTTGGCAAGCATTTTCTCCCTACGTACCGAAAAATACACCCCATGTACACACACAAGCATATGCTTCCAGTGCGGACACGCGCGACACACACTCACTCCACACCGCATCGGAAAACGGCAAGCTTGCTTATTGCATTTTCCTTCCACAAAAAAGTTTTGGTGTTTATGCCGCCCCGTGTTCTCAAAGTACTTTGGCTGCTCAGTTGCATTTCACAGGAACCTAGATATCGAATCCTCGGGCTGGGGGAAGTAAACACATGGACAGTCCGAGGCGACTGCAAAAGTAGATCGGTGAAGTCCTTTGCAAAACGCCGCGCGGAGAGCAGCCCCTAACGCTCGGCTGGGCTGCCGCTGCCGCCGCTGCTCCTGCCACCATCACAATGATCAACTGCTCGCCGCCGCCGCCGCCGCCGCCGCCGCCGCCGCCGCCGCCGCCGCCGCCTCCTCCTCCTCCTCTCGCTCCTCCACCTCCTCCTCCTCCTCCATGCCAGCGGAGTGATATCAGGACGCGCGAGCTCAGTAAACACGGCAGCGGCGGCGGCTGGAGGCCGTGAGACAAGCCGGGGGACACGGCGCAAAACCCGGCCCGGACTCTCACCCGGCAGGAGCGGGCGCGCACGCACCGGCACCCGGCTCCCGCCTCCCTCGCCTCGCCCTCCCCGCCCCTCCACGCCCCCAACCTCACTACTACCCTGACTGGATGCCGAGCTGCCACAAAAGAGAAAAAGAAAAGATTCTGGGGGATCTCGGGAATGAATCAACTTTTGACCTGTGTGTGTGTGTGTGTGTGTGTCTGTGCGTGTGTGTGTGTCTGTGTGTGTGTGTCGGTGTGTGCGCGCGAGCGTGTATGTGAGCGCGCGCGCGCGCGAAGATGGCCGCGTGAACGCGCCTGGCTGGATTTCCTTATTCCAAGCGAGGTATCATGCAAGCCCAAGTTCTTGTTATACATTTATGCATTATATTGCAGAACTGTGCATGACCAGGCAGAAACATTGAAGCTTCACAGCAGTTGTCTGTCATCCTTACCCATGTGGAAAGAAAAAGACAAATGAGTGACTCGTTTTTAAAACCCAGGTAGTAAGTCCTTGCTAGTAATAACCCTGCTTATGGACACTTGTTCAAACTCTAAGCCAGTCTTAACACACAAATACCGAATTCTGAACAAAAAAGAAATAGGCACCAAAAAACTTGGAATTTTATTTAATTCGCTGTACATGATTGTTGTTATTAAGGCAATTATTGTTTTACTTACCCTTGGAAAAAAAAATTAAAATAAAGCAAGCAGGGACTTGGAGGTGAGACTAACAGTACATTTTAACAGACTGTTTTGAACACTAGGTGCTAATGACAGCAGTAATTAAGGGTCCTTCGTAAATCAAGTGGAAAGATTGCAGATTTCATGGACTAGAACTATAGGAAAAACACAGCATTTCACAGTTTGTCATGACCAAAACAAAAACAAGCAAAAATAACAGGTTTACCTTATTGCTAGATATATTTCTTTCTGCTTAAACGAATGCACAATAAGTATAATTAAAATGGAATAACTACCACAGAAAGCAATCTAAACTTTCCTTTATCTTTCCAGATATTGAATATCAAAAACAAAACAAAACTAAGGATCAAATATAATATCCTTGAACCTGGACTTAATTGCATATACATAATTTTTTAAAAATTTAAATGGAGAAACAGCATTTCTGTGATCATCGGTAGTACAAAATCTTGATTGTGAGCTATTAATAATAAGGCATTTTGTATTATCTCAATAAATCTTACAGAATTAGTTTTTAGGGTAAAAATATACCCCAGTTTTCTAAAATAGCCAGGAATAAAAGAACTTTGGATCTCATGCATTAGTCATGAGATCTGATTTAAACCATCTTCATTTCTTGGCATTGCAGATTAGCATAGGATGCTATTTCTAACCTCATAATGTCAGCAATAAGAAGCTATATTTTTCTTCAATTAATCAGGCCTATATGGTAAACTATATCCTTTAACATCCACTGGATTATATGGTAAAATGGGCAGCAAAATATTGATTAATGTGGTGTGAGATTACCTCTAAGGAGTGAAAACAATGTGGGAGAGTATGTCTCATTGAAGCTACCATACTATTTCAGAGGGCTACTTAGTTAACATACAACTTTCTGTATCATAACGGCCCCTCCTTCAAGTCTGTTAGAAAATTTAACTGAATTAGTTCTATAGCAAAAAGTCAGTTCAGATTCTAAAAACATTGAGAAAATTATTAAGAAAAAGACATCACAAAGTAGCCTTTGTCTTTTTCACACGTTAACCAAATAATATCTCTATTAATTCAGGAAACACATGGCTTCATTGCAGAGAGGAAGCTATGACTCTGCATTCACTCTATTCTCTCTTCACTATAATTCTTTAATTCTTATTCCTTCTCCTTCCAAGCACGTACATCTCCCATAGAAGACTACAGTTTGATTTACAGAGGCAGCAAATTTGAGGGTCTTGAGTACTGGGTCTTCGGTTTTGAAACCTGTGTACTAATGCTAGCTTTTTCCTGTGACTCAGAATTTAATTTTTCACTGAGAATTTGTCAGTTCTGAAAAAAAATGACAATAGCAGCAATATGCATTCCTATCAAGCTGTTTACCTCTCCTATCATGAAGGGAAACCAAAAATACGAAAGAATTTGCATCCTTCCCTTTGGGGGACCAACAGGTGGAGGAGCACATTTTGTGGCTTTACCCCAGAGTTCCCCAATGACAAATGGAGCTATTCTTGCACAACTACAGTTTGCTACTTGAGTTTAGTGCATGAGTGGACTGTACAAAAAAGAAAGGTTGACTCCTCATGGGTGTCTGTACACACACACACACACACATGCGCACACACACACAAAGGCACCCATCTTTCATCTCATGAAGATGGTGGGAATGGCAGCCACAAGCTCCAAGACCAAAACGTAGGGACAGAAAGGACTGTGAAGTGGTGTAATGGGCAATGGGGGAAGCGTCTTTGAGGAAATTGACCTGTGCAGTATTCCACTGTGACATCCTTGAGGTCAGAAACCCCATCCTAATTGTGCTGGCTGATTAGAAGAAAGAAGCAGGAAGTGAACGAGACTTGAGTCTTGAGCAACATAGTCAAGTCATGCTGAATTAGAGATCTTAATCTGCTCCAGTGACCTTAGAAGAAACAGAAGCTTTCATACTGGCTACTTCTAGACTCCTGTGATATACTCCCACAAGGTTTCCAGCTTTGTTGATCACCATCCTAAAGAACTCCTTGAAAGTCATAGAGAAGTCCAAGTTCTGGGGAAGCCATTTTAGTCCCTTTTCCCTACCGTGCACTCTGATAGCATGACCATCTTTATCTTCTCTTTGAGCCTGCTGTGAAGCAAAACTTCCAGACGGGAGCTATGGACACATCATCAGTGTGGCTGGTCTAGAATAGCAAAGAAATCTGAGATGCCATAGCAATGATGAAAAAGAAATTATGTGGCTGCCTCCCCAGACTTTGATGATATCTCTCCGGATGCCAAAAAGAAGAACATGATGAATAAGTACCTGTACGAGGTTGTCCTGAGGCTCTGGCTCTGAGCCAAAGTTGGTAGTTCTAAGGAGTTGAACTAGATTCCCTTTTCTTTAGGCCAACTCTGCATCATCCTCCCATGTCCATCTGATAGGGCCCAGTGTCTCCGTGTCAAAAAAGAGGTCTTTGTGTAGAAACTCCAGTATATGTGCCATTTCTGCTTCCTGCTTAATGTGGATCAACAGAACTCTTTGTCACTGTACTATGAAAGAGTACTCTGCTGCCCATCTAAAGGTAAGCAAACCTTTATATAAGCCCACAGAGTGGGCCCTGGTGGTCCTGAATCACTAGCAGCAGTGGGGTGTGCCATCAACTGTCTAGCAAGAGCTATCATATCAACAATTTCACAAATAGAGTTTTGGCCTTCTGTGTGCCGGATGTCTGTGTTAGGCACTGGTAAGAAAGCAGAGCAGTGTAGGGCCCAATCCCAACCTCAGTGATGACCAACGAGACTCAGAGCAGGAGATGCAGTGATGGCACTAATATGAAGTGGGTATGGGAACACATAAAGGAGGCTTCGAGGGCATGCATGGGGATCTAAAAAGGCTCCCCTTGAACTCACACCAAAAACTGGGCAGAAGTAAGCCAAGCAAAGGTGGGGGGGGGCGGGTACTCAGTGGGGAGCTAGGAAACAGCCAGAGCAAGGCCCAGATCTGTTTCAGCAAATCCTCCAGTCGTTCCCTCACAGGAGCACGAGTGTGGGAGGTTGTGCTGAGAAATGAGGCCGAGGCTGGGGAGGTCAGCAGGACCCAGGTTGTGCAAGGCCATCCAGAAGTTTAGACGCTATCCCGGTGACAATGCTTCCATTGAAAGGATTAAAGCTGATTCACGCTTTTTGACTTTGGCAATGCAATAGATGTGAAAGATAGTGTCTTCTAGAGTGTGTTTCTGAAGAACCTGGTCTTATAAGATGTTTCACCAGAAAGGCTTCTGAGCCAAGTAAGTTTAGGAGATGGCACTGGGTCTCTCTCAAAGATTCATGACCACATTGAAGGCCACAAGAAACCTTGCAGCAAAATATGTTTAGCTGCGTTTAACGTA